CCTCATATTTTTGTTTTAACGATTTTTCGGCCATTGCAGTCTCTCGCCTTCTTTGGCTTTTCGTGTAACGTTCAGGTGTCAGTCGATCATTTGAACATTTTAATTAATCTACGGCGGCAGGTTGTTCTTGGTCAGCTGTCCTTGTCTAGAGTGGGGATACTTAGTCCAGTACTTCCTGGTACTTCTCAGTTATTTTCACCGTGTTTCCTCTGAAGCTGACTCTGTACTATACATCCAAGGGATTGAACTCACAAGACTAAACATTTTGTGTTCTATTATGTTATAATAGTTGCGCAAAAATTATTACCCATGGCTAATGATTAACCCTAGAACACTAACCATCATTTAAAGTTACACCGCTACTAACCATTGGTATATCATACCCAATTTTGAAAATATCAAAAAAAAAATTAAATCTTTATTTGAAATATTTTACATGCAGGTACTTAAACTTTGTACTTTGAGTTAACATTAATAGAAACTGAAAAACATTATTTAGGTAAGAAAATCAGGTACTGAAAATTGTAATTAAAAATAGGAAAATTTGCGCTGGGTACTATATACCTATGGTTAGTGATCTAGGGTTAATGTGTCTTCTTCGCTAATTTTATATCAATATCCTTCAGAATTTAACTGAGAATATTCTATAGCCCTCATCTTGAACATGGAAAAAGAAAAGATATATTTACTTTTGTTTTTCACGCTTGGTCATAATAATTCTCAAAATACTGCATTAACAGAGCTTGAGGGGAATGAACCACATGATCGAAAAGTACGGTGTTGGTTTCTGAAGTTCCACAGTGAGGATACAAGCCTTGAAGATCAAGGTGGCAGAGGATGTCCATCTGCAATTGACAATCACCATCTGAATACACTAGTCGAACAAATCTACTTCAAAGATCTCTTAGATAATCTTATATATCACTTAGATAATGGGTGTCAGCATTTCAACAATATCACACCATCTCAAGAAGATTGACATAGTAAAGAAACTCATCAAATGGGCTCCAGGAGAGTCAGGGAGAGTCAAAGAGCTCACCATTTTGAAGTTTGTTCGATACTGCAACTATGAAATTCAAATAATGACATGTTATGAGAAATGGGTCCTTTATGACAATCGAAGACGTTCAGCTCAATGGCTTGATCATGACAAAGGACCCAAACATTTTCACAAACCAAAATTGCACCAACAGAAAATTATGGTGACTGTCTTTCTGTAATCTAACCAGAATATCAATGCCGAAGTTTACCGCAAGCAACTGGATGAAATGCTCATTCATTTAAGCAAAATACGATCTGCACTGGCTGATCGCCGAGGTTCAATTCTGCTTCATCACAATGCTTAGTATTTATCAATCCACCCACGAGGATAGAATATGGCACAAGGCCTGTTTAATGTGGGTATCCCCGAGCCCGTAGGCTCGGCCAAAAATATAGCCGTTTTGAACCCGCCTAGACGGATTCAGGCCCTGTCTACCTCCCCGAACGAAACCTTGCCCTTCGGGTTCCTCTCTGCTAATGCAGAGAGTTCGACAGACGCCGACTCGGAAGCTCACAAAGGCAGCGTACTACACTTTGATCATTGCCCCCGGGCCGAGCAGCTTCATGACAATGCTTGGTAACATACTTCCAGGATGACTGCTGAAACTCAACCTATTTACATCTCACATCCACCATATTTTTCTGATCTCCCGCCAACTGATTACCACTTTTTCAAGCCTCTTGAAAAAATGTTTAAGACAAAAGAACACTATGTTGCAAAGATGCAGAAACTGCATTCAACCATTTTGAAGTGCCCCAGTTTTATCGCAAAGGCATGAATAACCTTGTAACTCGATGGTAGAAATGTATAGAAGTTCATTGACTAAGGTCATTGAACATCTATACATCTATACATAAAATTATCTGATTAAACACTGTTTAAACACATTAATTCAAGAATAAAAGTTTTATTTAAAACTGTAAATTATTTATTATTATATATTATTTTCCGAGCAGCCTAATACTATGACAGAAAATGCACGAACCAACGAGAAAATCCTGAACCTAGAAATCACAACCTTAAAAGTTCTTCTTAGCAGCCCCTGCTGTCTGCTGCTACAACTTCTACTACGTTTGACCTCCTTTGTTTCTCTTTTCTTACTCTTGCCGCTGTTGAAATATTCCTGTGAAATTTGGAAGGTCATTCTTATCTCGCTGTCCATACCTAGGGATATCTTCTAAGAAGGGCATTGGTTCGAATGAAAATAAACTAAAACTAGTTATGTAGCCACACACTTTCTCATCCTCTCTCATCGCTATATTTTGTGTTTTTTATGCAGAAATTATAGAGAAAACAGTGTTTGTTTTTTTTTTCTGTCATTATGCTTGTCTTCCCTCGTCCTCGATTTTCCTTCTCTACTGCTGTAGCCTCGCTTTGGCAGTTGGCTCTCTAACCCAGTGTTACTCAACCATTTTAAGCAACGGCACACCTAGGAGCAAATGAAAATATCTCTGCACAGTTAGCAAAAGTTTTTAAGAAGTATATATATATATATATATATATATATATATATATATATATATACCGTGACAACATTTCACTGCACTATTAAGATGACCGCGCTGTTGAGGATCACTGCTCTCATCTGTAGAATGAAGTCAAAATACTAAGTAAAGAATAATGGAGAATCATCGTATATGCTAGGCTGAGATGCCTCCTCAGTAGGCCTAGCACAGGAATAAATACCACACGGGAGCCATTAATAAAAAATAAGAAAGAACGAGAAACAACGGCGAAGAAAACTAAAGTCCACAGCAAGACTTTGTTTTACTCTGCTTTTTTCCCTTTTTGTTAATGAAAATTGATGGCTACTTTATATAAATGTATATTATATATTCCATCCATTTAATCTGTAGATTCTCTGTCCCTGTTTTCTCTCTCTCTCTCTCTCTCTCTATATATATATATATATATATATATATATATATATATATATATATAAAAGACATTTTTATGTTTAACGTTCTTTTTATAGATACAAGTATTTAAGTAAATGCTCTCTTTATAATAAACAGTATTAAATAACATTTACCGGCCTGAATGTCCGAGAAATTTCGAGGATTCGAACCTGCATCTATACGGAACCGTCATTTACGTGACGTGCCTTACCGTCTCGGCCACAAAGGTAGGTACGGTCGAATTTACTGCTTATAAACTTCAACTTGCCTACCGAACGCTCCTTTGTGGCCGAGACAGTAAGGTACGTCAGCGTAAATGACGGTTCCGTATAGGATGCAGGTTCGAATCCTGTCAAAGGACGAATATTTTCTATAAAAAAGAATGTTAAACATAAAATGTCTTTTAATAAATAAATTTCGGACTTTGTCCATTTCTTTATATATATATATATATATATATACACGCACACATTCTCTCTCTCCTTCTCTCTCTCACACACATAAAAATCAACCTAACACCAATAAAAAGCGCATAAATTATTTTAACTCAATATAAAAATAACGAAACTGAGAAAATCGGTGGTCAATTTCTGGTACCTACTGACGAGTGGACAGAACAATTACAAAAGTTTTGTCTACCAACCTCTGGGTGCTGAATATAAAATCAATGTTATTAATTAATCTTATATATGTATGCAGACACGAATGATGCTGAAAATTTCACAGTCTAACAAAAATGAATTTAAAAAATTATCTTTGGCTATTTCGCCAGATTTTGTGAAATCAGTGGGGTTGTGAACTTTTCAGAACACCCCTTGTGTATATACACATGCTTTATATATATATATATATATATATATATATATATATATATATATATAGCATATGCTTACAGCTATCTTTTCTTTAGGAGACCAATTTTCAAGGATAAACGGCAACAGGAGGTAATGGTTTTCTCCCTTGTCAGCTTTCTTCATAAAAATGTCTCCATAACTAGAACATCCTAATTTGTATTATTTATTATTCCTTTCTGGTGGTCACTTTCATATTGTCCAATCAGTATTCATGACCAGTTTCTATTTAGCGCCAGGACGGATCAATAAAATGTCGTCTCCCAGAATTCCCGCCATCGTTTTTGTCCTTCTCTTTTTCTTTTTCCTGTCACACGCCATTTCTAGCCTCCCAACCAGCTGCTTTTCACAATTTTTGTTTTATATGCTTTATTCGGTGCCTTTTGCATCCTGTGTCCCTTTGGCTAGCATTTTCTAGTGACGGTCCACTCATTAGAGATGACCATCTCCATGACAACTTGACTTTGGCCAAGCAGTGAACTGGTTTGTCGATTGGTAGGATGGCAGGTAGGTAAGCGGGTTGGTTAGTAAATTCGTCAACAGTCTAGATGGGGTTGTAGCTGGCTAAGGAAAAAGGAGTGAGAGAGAAAAATAATGTCTTTGGTCATCTTTATTATCCATCTGTTTCTCACATCTGTGTCATCAATTTGGGCGCGTAATTTTCAGATTCGGTTTGTTCGACTTTCCTCTTAGTTATCGCAATTCATTTACCCTTGTGACATTTTTTTTTAAAGTACATTTTCATTAATATATATATATATATATATATATATATATATATATATATATATATATATATAGTGTTCTCAGTGGGGTTTTTTTTGTTTTGTGTTTCTTTTGGTATTAGTGAGATTACTATGATTTTTTTTTTCTGGACATATATTCTCATTTTCATCGATGCAAAATAAGAGAATTGTTAGGCGTTGTTTTTTTTTTTAGTTTTTTTTTTAACTATACAGGCATGACAGAAAATGGTGACTAAGCATTATAAGAATAGTTTTACATAACCAATACAAGAAATGCTAATTTGATTTAAAAGCAGTTTTCCTTTTCTGGACAAATATGTAAAGATGAGATTATTATATTCTTCATTATTGCTTTGTTTTAATGTTTTACTGCCAAATAGTAGCTCTTTCCAGTATTGATAAGAAAAGGAATTTATGGAGTCATGATCGCCTACGTTCATACTATACACCAAACTTTCAGGGCATAACACCAGTTCCCGTGCGATCACCGAAGTTAAGCAATGTCGAGCTTGGTCAGTAACAAGATGGGTGATTGCTTGGAAATATCAGGTGCTGTAAGCTTGGATGTGCGGCTGGTGTGACGGAACTGTTATTCGGAGAAACGAGTTCCAATTCCAGGTGGGTTCGTTATATTCACTTACAAACATGAAAAGATTTATCGAAAAGGTACATGGAAGCTATGTTATGTCGCTGGGAAATGCATTCATTTGGGAGTCCAAGCTTTACTACTCACTCAAATTACAGTCCAAAATATTTTGGCATATTTTTTAATTCATTCTACCATCTATTATTCCTAAATTACCCGTACCATTAGCAGAAAAAACATCCCCAAACCATAAATTTACCACCACCAAATTTCACCGTTGTGATTGTGTTGTTCGGTGCAAAGGTTGTGCCGTCTTTTCTCCAAACATGTGTCCTTGAATTACGCCCAGATAGTTCAATTTTTGCTTCATCTGTCTATAAAACGCTTTCCCAAAATGATTCAAGTTTATTCTTATCCTCACGAACAAATTTTAACGGGCATTTCTATGTTTCTTCAATAGTAGTGGAGTTTTTCTTGAAGAACGCGATCTTAGTTGACATCTATGAAGTTCATTGCTTGTTGTTCGCTTCGTAACAATAATAGCTGATGCTTTTTTTAATTCTTCCTGTATTTCTCTCCAAAAGTCAGGATTTTCTTGAATTTTGCGCTGAATTCTTTTCATTGATCTGGGAGAAATCTTTCATGGTGCACCAGATCTTGATTTGTTCTCAACATTTTTCACCTTTTTTATATTTGGCAATAACGGAACTAATAGTAATAAATGGTATATTCAGGATATCTACTATTTTCCTATAGCTTTTGTCATATTTCCAATGTTTGATGATCAATTCTTTTTGGAAATTTGATAGTCCCTTGCCTTTCTCCATGATGATAATTATTGTATGTTTTGTGTGCGGAGGTAACCTTATATAAGAAATGAATTACTAAATTTTCTAGATTGTTCCGATAAGATAATTGGAAGAATCTAGCAAAATCTTACAAAGAATTATGTAAATAAAGTTAATTTCAGACTTTTGATATTAAAGACATTTTCTATGAATACTTTTTCTACTCAAAATTTTACAAATCAGACAAAATTTAATTTATAACAAAGTTTTCTAATTGTTTTTTGTATATTGCAGCATTATGATGTGGTGTACAAATATTGTATGGATTTTTTTTTTCGTCAGTTATAACTATGTTAATTAAAAAATTTCATCGTGTACGAATATTTATTTACCCCACTGTATAACAGAATAAAATATTACATATGTTATTATATAACAGTTATAAATATGTTATTATAATATTTTATACATATATACAAAATAAAATATAATCGCTAAAATGAAATATAAATATAATACAATAGGGATGATAAGGAATAAATATATAAATAATGTAACAGTATAAATCATATATATGTAATTATATCATAATATATATTATAATATTTTATACATATAACATGTAAAATTTAAATAAAATATCACTAAATAAAAGAAATAAAATATAAATTTAATAGAATAGTTATAAGAAAGAAATATGTAATAATATGTGTAATAGAATAAAATAATAGATTTGTAATTTTATATATATATATATATAATATATTTATTTATAATGTGTGTGTGTGTATATGAATTTACCCCAAGAAAGATAGTAAAGCCTCTAAGTCACAAGGAGTTACTGGGTGTGAAATAATTAGAAAACAAAAAAACATTATGAACGCGCGAGAACAGTAGAAGAAAAATCAGGAAGACACCACATGACAATTGACATTACATTTAAATTTTTGGAGATCAAAGTTGGGTGGAAAGCATGGAGCCGAAAGAGAGTTTTACCAAGGAGAAGTGCGAGAAAAAAAAACTACTGGCATAAAACCTATTGTCTTCTTCCTTACCTTTTAGAATGTTATAGAATCAGGTCAAAACTATTTAATTTTCAAAAGGTGTTTGTATTAAATGCAAAATTTAAAAAAATATATTATAAATGCTATAAAATCATATTATTTCATAATTTCCCTAAGCGTCGTGAATAATTTTGCACTGCACCAATTTTTAGAAAAATCTATAACTATTAATATAATAGATCGAAACTAAATACAGAATCAACTATTCATGTTAAATTCAGTAAGTCCTTAGAAAATATGCAAATATTCAGTTGGGTGTAAATAATTCTGTCCACAACTGTATATAAAGTATCATACTTGCTGAATTGGGTTGTTCTTCTTGCCGACAACTATAACGGTTGTCTTCTTACAATCGATGATTAGTCCTTTCTTCTTGCTTTCATTTATTACCTCGTGTGTGAGTTCCCCCGGTTTTGTTTCTCGGTCTGCTATCAACACTGTGTCATCTGCACGTTCTGAAAATGTTAAGATTGGGTTCATCAATAATAAATCCTGGTAGGACTTCCAATTCTCTCTGGATTATTTCATAGAAGCAAAAACTAATAAAATATACATTTATTTACTTTTATGAGACATTTGCACTCCATGTAACGATTCTCTAGAAACGAATGGCGTTATAGAGAAGAAACAGTCTTATACATTGCTTTTGTTATATATCCGATGGTTTATTTAGTTTTTAATAGAGCAATATGAACCCTCTATATTTTTTACTTATTATTTTCGATTGATTATCTCTATCTATAAAAGGCAGGATGTGTGTGTGTGTGTGTGTGTGTGTGTGTGTGTGTGTGTGTGTGTGTGTGTGTGTGTGTAACGAATGCACGGCCGCAATTTTCGACGGATTTGCACCAAAATTTACAGGCACATGCTCCAAGTTAGCGAAAACGCCAAGACCGACATTGCATTTTCCAACTCCATCCATAGTGGAAATAATCAATTTTCATGCTTCTACGGCAGTTTTCATATTTGCGGCCATTTTCTACTGGCCAGAGTGAGAGCCTATAGCTGGCTGCCACGAATAGGCAGGAAGATTCTGTTGGCCAGCGTGAGAGCCAACAGCTGACTGACACGAATGTTAACTACCATGCTAGCATGCAAAAAATTCGACAGCTGCATTCGTCACAAGTGGGAAAAATTTAAATCTGCATGGCACTTTACTCCAATTGGCTCATTCGCTTGATTAAACTCAACGTTGATTCTGATTCCGCAGAACTGGGTTGCGTGCGAAAAAGTATTTGTTGTTAACATTCTTTTTTCATTCAGTTTTTCCAGTTACGAGTCCTTTTTTAAAGCTGATCGTTTTGTGTTCATTTTGTTTAGTTCTTTTTTCGTAACAGATTTAATATTTAGTATAGAGCTTAGAAAAAAATTCGCAGTGTGAGATAGGCATGAAGTAAAGCATGTAGCAACATCAGCACGGCAAAGGACACTCTTTTAAAGGCAAGGAAGGGCAAAAATATTTTAAGTCAAGTGATAGCGATTGCTGTGCGAGTCGTACGATTTTTGAATCAAGCACGGACAACGCCGAGTCATGCTGCTAGTTCTTTATAAATGAATAACAGCATTTCTTTAGTTTTATTTCTGATCGTTTATTTTTTTTTTTACTAACAAGAAACAGTTCCATGCATTTCTTTGTTGTATTTCTGATGGTTTATTCTTTACAAACGAATAAAAGCATTTCTTTCTTTATATTTATAGATTTTTTTATATAGTCGAATAACAGCTCTGTGTATTTTGTCATATTTCAGTAGTTTATTCTTCATAGATAAACAGTTCTTTGCACTTCCTTTGGGTAGATTTCCGATGTCTTTAATCAACCGAACAGGTGAGCAACAACGAAGTTTTAGAGAAAATGCAAACAAAAGACACATAACGTAACATCAGGAAGAGAGTTGAAATTTCTGGGTCACATAAGGAGGAAAGAAAGCTTGGAAAATTTGATACTCACAAGCCAGATGGAAGGCAAAAGAGACAGAGAAAAATAACGCATAACCTACCTAGAGAGTTTGATTACATGGATGGTGCAAGAAAGTTTGGGAGAGAGCAAAACACAAAATTTTATTAAGAGCTATGAAGAACAGGAAAATGTGGAGAGTCATGATTGCCAACGTCCTAAAGTGACACGGTACATAGAAGAACGGCTCTGTGCATTTCTTTGGTTATATTCCGAGAGCTTATTCTTTATAGACCAGCAGCAACTATGTGTATTTCCTTTGTTAGATTTCTGATGGTTCGTTAGTTTATAGACGAATAAGTTTTATGCTCTTCTTTTCTTATATTTTTTATGGTTTCTCGAACTTTAAACCAGATGATGCAACTCCTCTTAGTTAAGTATTTTTTATTGCAACATCAGTGTTCGTGATTCAAATTCGTTTACTTAATATTTTGTTAATATTTCACGAGAACTGTTTTTTTCAGCGTCAGTCTCTTTAATACTGAGGAAGTAATTGATTATTGCATTTGTAAATGTTACTGGTTGCAAAGTGCGTTTCAGTGCGAGTGTGTAATGTTCTGTTTAACTTCACTTGATAAACAGTCAATACTCTTAATAAACCATTAGATCTCCCACACCGGCCACAAACACACGCACGATGACTGATTCGTTAAAAATATTCATCTAAGTCAAACGATGATACGAAACATGGAGATAGGCGATGCCACGTCAAGCTTCAAAACCTGTTATTTTCTACAACTTCACTATAACTGACACGAACCCCATACCCACCGGCAGCTGTTTCAATCCAATCAACCAGCTCTGCAGTAAAATTGATTTTGTGCATTTCGAAAATCAATGCCGACGTTTCAATCCTAGTAGTAGCCATCTTCAGGATGACTAATTATTACCCCGGTCATTTGGTATTTGCTTACATAGGCACTGGTGTCTGTATCAACTACGTAAGATGGACAAGGGTTTGGTACGAGGAATTATATTCAGCTGCGTTTACAGCCTCTTCGCCAGTTGGCATTGATTATTAGGCCCGTGGAGCTGACCACGCAATAACTAATGGCCTGTGATTGAGTCTTGTCATTGTAGATGTTACACTTTCTTTTCTCATTCCACCAGTCATCAGATGATATGCTGGTAGAGAAAGAAATAAGACACGCTGCTACTTGAGACGTT